GAGTGAGTGACGTGCGATAGCGGTGAACTGTTAGGCTCGAAAACGGTACAGTTGCAACCACCGAAACCGATGTTAATCCTTCGAGCACTGCAGTTGTGTTTCGAAACGTTATCGTCCGGTACCGGCTGTCGACGGCGTTTTTCGGCAATACACCGCGGCATCGTCGTACACGCTCGGACGTTTTTGTTGTTCCGGTCGGTCAAAAGGTTTTTGTACCAACAGTTGCTCGATTCAATATCATCGTCGGTTATAATAATTGCGATTGATTATAATTCCGATGGCGAACCCGTACCCGAATATAACTGGGTACGGTGTAGTTTTATACAACAATTCATATGCATACAAACACGTACAATACGAGCGGAGAGCAGTAACGTCGGATTTTTTTTTATAGAAACCGAAAATCGGGTTAGCAATAAAACCAATTTTACGTAAAAAACCGTCTATAAAAAAAAATAGTGAGTTTTCAAACCTATGCGAGTTGGGTAACGGGGAAGCTCTTCGCTGTTTTAGTCCATTCTGTTGGAAATATTGTTTAGTACTCGACGAGTGCGATAACAGACTTCATGTGCATAATATATTTACGGCATTGCACGGTAGTTGTAATAAGTTTTACGTACACTACGTCTGCAAATTTCCGGTTTTCGTGTGTACATTGACGCTGTTGCGCTTCTGGCCACGGCTGGAAATCCTAGACTGATGGGTTGTTGTTTCCATTATTGAACGTACGTGTCCCGAGCGCAGCACATTATTTCACTTATAATAGATTGGAGTCAGTAACATTTTCGTCAACTCCAAACGGCTGGCGGTAAGGTAGTCGCTGCAGGGTGTCGGTGCGGGGAAGGATCTCGTTCGTAGGCTGTTAAAGCCGCCTCGAGCGTGCATTTCACGAGCAAACATTTAATAACGACCAGAGAATGCCACCGAAGTTGAAATACATTTTTTTAACACTCGGCACGGCGCACGGAATGACACAGCGTGACAAGAACGTGACGATTTTGAACGTTATACAGTCGCATAATGAACTCGAAACGAAACGAACAATCGACTTTTATGTTTTATTATTTTCGCGTCGTGTCGACTGAAATCGCTGAACGTATATTGCGATTAGATGGTGTTTTCTGTTAACTGTTGATTGCGTTGGGTGTGTATGTTAATTGAGTGCTTAGTTTCATCGTTGAAAATTAAAATGTAACGAAATTTCAGATTAAAAACGAGTAGACTGCTTATTTATGCCAAATTCGAAATCAGTTTTCAGAACTAACGATGCGTGAACACTGGTTGGATATGTCAATGTCCCTCCATGGTATTATTTATGCTTCGTAAATGCAAAAATGTACCAGTTCAATAAAAAAAAAATTGTAACTATCCGCTTAGTCCAAAGTACAAAAAATTAATTTTTCTGAATATTTTATTTTATTCAACTCATAAAAAATATTATTTTTTCTCAACATAAATATAAATAAACGTATTTATTGATCGTAGTTATTTTATATTTCAAGGTTATGAAATATATTTTTTAGAACATCGATATCCGGACTAAGGACTATAGTTTTGTAAGTATTATTATGTATTGCGCGATTCCACCCATAGATGTATCTGGTTGATAGTATATTAATTAAATTAATTATTTTTAACGCCTTAAAACGTTTTACGATATTTTTTTTTTTACTTTTTATTTATTTACTTCATTCATATATTCGTCTGGTTTTTAAACACCGAATGCTACCGAATTGAAAAACCTGAAATCAATAGAGTTAAATATATTAATTGACAAATTGAAGCGAAAAAAACGTTGTCGTGTCGTTATCATTGTTGTGTAAGTTAATATAATAATTTATCGCATAATATGGCCACACACGTATGTATATGTAACATCGTGCGTACAACTGCAGTGACACGTTCGAATTTATTTAAATTCGGGAGAAATATATGCGACCGCTATCGCGTGTTCGTCTTTATTTTAGGCGTTGTTCATTAGTTTACATAGGCCATAAATTTGGTGTCCAGTGACACGTGGTGTTGACCTATTCCTGCTGTCGGAAACGCTGTCACTGGTACGGATTGAGCTGTATGGTTTGGGGACTGTTTGCAGAAGCTGTAGTTGTAGTAGTAACTAGTAGTAGTAGTAGTAGTACGAATTCGATAGGAAGGGTAGGTTTACAGGACGCTTCAAAAATTGTACACAACAGCTATAACTTTCATGTGAAATATTTGAATTTAAAAAAAAAACCAACTATGTAATGTGTGTGTGTTTTGGAGTCGATCCGAAGAAAACGAAGGTCTTAATTCAACGTCTTAACCGTTAAGGCTTAACGGACTATTCGATCGTATATTTAATAAGTATTATACTACATGGGGGTGATCAATAAAATAGGATATTGTTAGGACAAATGGAAATGAAACAATTTTAAAACCGAATAAACGTAGGGGCGAATAATACGGGGATCTCGACGCGCAGCGTGCTCACGGCTATGCGTTTCGTAATACCTGTTTGTACATTTGTTCACTGGTTGCTTGTTAGTCGACGACGATGTTGTTCTTAATGTTTCTTCTTCGTGCGACCTCGCACAGCGTTGTTCGATTATTACTGCCGGGCTCCCGAACATTAATTAACCTAATGGAAAGATGCGCGTAATAACAAATAAATTACAGGTCGATAGTGGATTAACATAACGGAAAATTGTTCTAATTTATGCATCGCGTAAGGCATACATACCTACTTAAACAAAAAAAATAAAAAAAAATAAATAAAAAACGTTATAATGAAAACGCTTTATGCGGCGTGTTGTGTGTACCTGTATTCGAAGAATTTAATTACAGTAATCCCTCGTTATCCAAGGATTTTTTATCAACGGTTTCGATTACCCGCGGCTAGTTTCGCGATCAAATGTTATTAATGCAATAACCTTTAAACTATATTATACGAGAACTGTAGATAATTTCAGCAGATCCATTTTTATAGATAATTGTTATATCGCTAAGTATAGCCATACAACTATGTACGAATAGGTATGTACTTATTACAGAAAAGCAACATAGGTGCCTACTTATATATGATTAATAATCGTCAATTATTCATTTATCAGTTGATATTTGTAAAATTTTGGATAAATTAAAAAGTGATGATACCGTAGCGTCATTTGCTAAAAAGTACGAAGTTATCGTATCTAGTATTCGAGAAGTATGAAAAAATGAAGAAACAATACGACTCAGTGTTAAGGAAAGTGGTCCTATTTATTAAACAAATATGTATACTAAGTAATTGTAGAAAATATATATTTAACGTTATTGCGATTTTTAAAATCAAAAAAATAAAACATGAACTCCTTTTTTGTATTGCTTTATGGTCTCGTTATCCTCACAACTTTGATGGAAAGTTACCTCCCCGGATAACAAGGGATTATTGTACATTGAGTGTCCGTTGAAATTTACGAGCATGACTGGTGTCTTAACCTCATCTACAGCGATGATATTTTTACACGAATGATTTATGATATACGATTAACCCCGGATAATATATAATTGTTCTTACAACAGTTGCACACATGTGTCATATGAATATGTTGTATGTACCATAAAGTTATTTTTTTGGTCGGCTTAAGGGTGGATCCAGTATCTTTTTAAGATTGTGTCTTGCAGGTTTATCCCCCCCTCTAAAAAAATAATAATAATAATAATAATAATAATGCGACATTATTGTAGTAAAACTGTCAAGATTTAATTTTATTATCTATTATTTAGTTCTTCTAAATGTTCTTTATTTTTAATATAATTTGATATGATTTTATATACATTTTTATTATTTGACTAATTGTTGTTGCTGTAGAGTTCAACTAATATTTCAACGCATGACATGAGCGTTGGACACTTGAAATCATATTAATGGGTTAAAGCTGTGTAGGATTGATTTAATACGAAACATTTGAACCCCTGTCACTTGACAGAAAAAATAAATAACAACGAACACTGCGAGCATTTTGAAGAGAAAAAAAGACCGTTGTCACCGTGTCAGTTGCTGGACATGGACTAAAATGCTTATCAAAAATACGTCTGGTCGTTTTATTATTATTTCCCATGACTTTTCTAAAGCAACATTTTGAAGTAGCCTTAAACGAATTATTCTGGTAAACAATACACATTGCCATTGTCCAGTCGGACACATGAGGTTTTCGAAAAAATAATGGGCAAAACATGAATTATTATGATCTTAAAATGTTAATCTTTATTTGTTTATCATGATAAATTCATGTACACATATAACATATGGTATTTCCGGGACCTTCAAATTGTGAGTCATATTCTGATTCAATAGGTGAATGTACTTATAATAAATTGTGCGGCGTCCTGAAAAATAAATTGTTTTCCGACGGCGAATATTGAAAGAGCTTTTTAATGAAAATTTCAGCCTGCGAGTCCACCAACTTATACCCGTCACCGGGGATCAATTTTTTAATGCTCTTTGACATCCGAGAGCAATGATTTGGTAACTCTACATATAATTGAAACTATATAACAGTATTCATTGATTATCGAATAAATCTATTTCGTTTTTTTTCAACATTACAGGGTGATTTATTTAACTTTATTCGATTTGTTACTTTTAAGAACAATTCAAACAAAATCGAATGCAAATAATACGCGTATTGAACACCCGTAATGACAGAAGCAAACAGTTCACGCGGTTGTATGAATGTTGTTTTAAATCACATGAACACGACATCTTTTAAATGTTGATACAAACAAAAGGACCACCCTAATATGTATTATGAATGTTTTGCTCGTAAAAGTTCTAACGGAAAAAAAAAACACCTGAAACTCAAGAACTTACTTGAGTAACTCACGAGCTACATAACTAACTCCACGTTTTTTATCCGTATTGTTGTTATCATTATTATACGATAATAGTCTTTTCATAAGCGGAGCACGTACTTTGTGCATGGACCGGGACAACGTACGTGCGTAATGTAAAGTTTTTATCAACTTCGAACAAACGGGGATAAAAACACATTGATTTATTGATTTTTAAAACATAAATGACTACATTATTTACACACATCTCATGTTCCGAAAAAACGTGAGTAAAAAAAAAAAAAAAAATAAATAAAATAATAATCGGGCAAGTACAATACTATCAATATAAACTTAATATTAAACAAATTAACACATAAACGTATACAATATATTATAATGACACTATTGTGGAAGACATCATACGAGAGTATATTATAATAAAGTTAAAAATAGTATGGTTGGGAGATTTTTAGCGAAACGATTGCGGCGAAATCCCTCATGCAACGGTAACGCGGTTCGACCAATCTGGTACGACATAATTACAATGATAAAACAACGTGATGATAATTATTAAATTGCGATCATTATTAACACAACGGACCGTAAGGATGGGCGAGCGAACGTTACTATTGCGGTTCAACATTACTGTATGGCGCAGTTCTTGTCGTCCACCGCTTGTTGGGACGGCGGCGGTTGCAGTGGCCGCTGCATGTGCCCGGGCTGCTGTCCGACGGTCCTCTTGCCGGGCGAACGGTGGCCGGCCTGCTGTTTGGCGTACGCTATGGCGTCGTTGGGCACGTACGAGATCCGGGCTGCGGCACCAGCCCCGGGGCCGTACGGACGTCGCGCCGGCAACTGGTACACGGACAGGTCGTCCAACTCGCTGCCCGAACTGGACGAGCACGTGGAGCAGCACCCGTGCTCGGCGGCCGAGTCGTTGTCCAAGTCGAAATTGTGGGCCGCGTCTCCGAGTTGCGGTGGTTGCGGCGGAGGCGGTGGCGGCGGTGGCGGCCGGTTCCGCGAGCTGCCGCTCCGGCTCCGACTCCGGTTGTTCCGGCCGTCCCGGCGTCGGCGTCTGGTGGTCGTCCGACCGCCGGAAGCTGGTGTGTCTGCCGACGACGAGGCGGTGCCGTCGAAACGCACGGACCGTCGGCCACCCGACGTCATTTCCGGAGTGGACGACGACGACGAAGCCCGGTGCTGCTGTTGGTGATGCTGCACGTTTACGGCACCAGCGGCGGGCGAACCGACCGTGGGACGACGGTCGACCGCGGACCGACGGCTCGACGGCGAACGATTGGCGGACGTGACTTGCAGCGCGGGTGACGCGGTGGCCGCTGCGGCCGCGGTGGTGAGTTTCTCGAACTCGTTCAGCAGCCGGTCGGTGATGTCGTCGTCCGACACGAGCTTCTCCAGGAACCTCTGAGGCAGTTTCCCGTTGCTCAGCAACCGCTGCAGTTCGTACAGCGTGTCGTCTAACCGCCCGTTGCCGCCGTCCATTTGGTCGATCGCCGCCGCGGCCGCGGCCGTCGATGACGTGGACGTGGCCGTAAACCTGTGGCCGACGCGGCGGCCTTCGTAGCGCTCGTCGTAGTCTTGATCGTCGCGGTCGTCGTAGCCGGTCGCGTCCCCGTCGTCTTTGACCACGGTCACCACGCGCCTGGACTCGACTTGCACGATGTCGTTGCGCCGGCGACGCTGTCGCACGTCCAAGTCGGACGGACGGGTGACCATCGGACTCGAACGGGCGAGCACGTTGTCGGCCGCGGCTCGATGCAGGCGCGTAGGCGACGGTGACGACGTGCTACAACCGTTGGCCTGTAAAGCTCTGCGGCCCATTTTCGGAGATCGAGACACCGACTGTTGCGATGGCGAAGGAGATCTGCGAAAATCAAACGGAATCTTTAACACACGTAATGTATTAGTATGGAATCATAACAATGTTTGTATTTAATCGAAAACAGCAGAATCGGCACTTGGGGCAAGCGACAACTTCGTTAACGAAAATCGGAAAAACAACGTAGCGAAAGCATGAGAGGGCGAGAGAGAGAGAGTAGAGGTTAAGTTACGGAGGCATAGGCTAATGAATATTTATAAATTCGATTATATTTTTTTTCCTTTGTCGATTGAATAATTGAAAAACAGCGACGGAAACTTATTGCTCTGTAATGTTTTAATTAGTGTTTTTTGTTGATTACACATCAGAACGCCAAAAGTAATAATAATAATTGATCGATTAAAATATTTCATTCTCGACTACTGACGATGGTTAAAATAAACGTTTCGCTATCAACCCTCGCGTGAATTGTGTGTTTGTTGAATCGAAAAAAAACATTGAATTGGTGACGACTGCTTAAAACTACGATTTCGCTAACCGCTCGGTGTTTTTTTTTTTTTTATAGGATCGATTTCCGTTGAATCGTGGGTTTAAAATACTCTGCATAAGCCACTGTCATTTTGAAATAAAAAATAAAATAAAAACAGAGACGTTGTATATTTTCTTTACTGATTTCACGAGAAATCTGAGAATAACGGCCGAAGCAAAAGGGTATAAAACGAGCGGTAATAACCATTTATAATATGTGTATCATTGTGTGCATTCGGTCGCGGTAAATCAAAAAAATATGATGGCTGATACTGGCCATATTTTTAACGTTCATACGACGGAACTGTATATTGATAATTTGGTACATATGTGCTTTAATCGTGTAACCCATAATACGAAATATTCTCTCGATTGTTTTTAAAAATTTCCTTCCAGCAACACCATAAAATTAAAAGGACCGAAACTTTCGTGACAAGTTTACGATTAAATGTCAAAAGTACACAGCGATGGTCTAGAGGGAGCGAAAAGTGCCCAGGACATGATAGTTTTACGCAGGAGGTATCAATTTAATATTTTTCTCGTTCAAGTCTATCGTACACATGTGTTACGTCGGAAAACCTTTCATAGAATTCCTCATTTCGTAACATATTGTTACTATATAATTATTATAAAACCACTATGGAGATAGTTTTCTGTCGGTTTGAACGTAGAATTATTTTTTCTTTAAGATAATTGTTGCCCTTAAGCTATGCAACCGAGGAATTCTCAACCGACGACCAGATTTTTCTCGAGCCTAAAACGATTATGTATCTACGTATTTCCTTCGTCGTGTTTCATCTGTTACACACGAACGCAACCTGTCCTCCTGTATACGTCATTCTTAAGAACGCCACACACAGAAATGGTAGCCGAAAATATGTTAAATATTTACTTCAAGCGTGTATTTTATAAAGTGCCTATTGTTTGCACAGCAATTACTGACTGAATAACAAAACCGAATAAACGAAATAATTTCCTATACGTTTTTATCCCTTCCCCCGACACGAACGTTGTCGATATATTGTGACGCTGTTTCAATCCAAAATCATCAAGACCGCTATAAGCATATAACTTATTGCGCGTTATCGTGCGATGTCCGTTCACGTGAAAGTTGATATTTTACGAATAGCGTAACGGAACGAAACCGACCGGGCACATGAAACGCACGTAAAAACGATCACAACGACGGTAATAAACAGAGCGAGAGTGTCATGCATGACGGCGTAGGGAAGTGCACGTTTGCTCGATCGTTCGCGGGCGGGGAAGGGACGAATGTGAAAACCGGTGAGAAAAACCTACGCGATTCCGTTGGAGTTGTTCCGTCTTCCAGAGCCGGCCGGCGAGTCGGGCGCGGTGACGACCGGTTGCTGCTGCTGCTGCTGCGTGGGCGTATTGGCGGTGGCCGGTGCGGAAGTCCCAATGGCCGCGGCCGAAGTCATTTCCGATTCCGGTTGTTGCGACTCGGCAATAGCAGCGGCCGTTGTAGCGCGGCCATCGAACGCCGGGGACGGGGCCGTCGGCGGTTCGCCTTTGCTGCAAGCGATCGAGCAGTAGATGGCTCCTCGGCGCGGCAAGAACGGCCTGCCCAGCAGCGACGATCTGCACGTGTGACAGCAAAAACACTGTTCGGTCGCGTGCCAGTGTTGTCCTTCGTGGCTCATTTGTCCTGCGGAAAGATACGCAAGCGTTATTTATTATTGTTACGTGCGGGGCGCGCTTACACGATACGCAGCATCGCGATAATTAAACGATAATACGTTATAATAAGATATACTACGTTGTAATACGTACGGTATGTCGTATTACGGAAACGAAACGAGTTTGTATTTTTTTAAATTTTTTTTTTTTATCAATATTTGTTATGGTATAGCTGTAAATCTATCGTATTATAGTAATTAATGGTACGCGACTTAATCGAAATAAATATAAATGGGTACCATCCCTCTCTATTTGCCATAAAAACTCTTCAAGAGTTTTTGCCAACACCTACTTCCACTCTTCTCGATTCTATACCTCTTCCTTAATTGTTTGTCCTAATTTTAAACGGATACGTGAAAAGAAATGGTTCCGTAATCCTCGCATTAGGCCGGGTGAACATTGAGACGCAGGCGACGCAGCGCAGCGTAGTATTTGTAATCCATTAGTGAGAATGTACTAGCACTTATTAGTAGACAGGGCAGGGTAGAGCAGAACTTTGTCTGTGTCGACCTGCGATACAGTTTACTGCACACGTGCCACACGCATTTGGAATATTTTCCATTTAAATTACGCCAGCCTAAAATAATACTCTCTTTTTAATTTTGGTTTGGTATTTGATTTTTGAGGTGAAAGAGTCTATAATTAAAGCAGGTTAGGTTTTAGATTTTTTTTTTAAAAAAATTGTTTTTTCACAATTGTTTATGTGTTCTTAACGAATGTAATAAGAGAAGTTCATCAAATTCATCATCAGAATCTGATTCAGAACTTAATTTTATTACATTTTTTGCTATAATTTCACTCATGACTGGATGAATGGTGATACGAAACAGCGTAGTAATATGTGCTCACATAGGTCACACAGTTCTTCCTGCGCTGCGTTGCCTTACGCTGCCCTACACTGCGCTGCATCGCTTGTGTCTCAATGTGCGCCCGGCTTTAACGTGTAATAATTTTGAGATTAGAGGACGTGCAGTTACATTCAACGAACTAATAAATAAGTTATACATGAACTGTAATAATTTTCTCGCTATAGCCCGTCAAATTCGTTCGATCCATATTTTTAATTTTAGCCTTTTTTTTTTTCAATTAAAAGGCGTATTTTTATTGTTGAACATTAATCAGTTCTTCATTCATCGTCACACATACATTCAAACATACCCATATATTAAATACATTTATATTGAACGTAAAAAATTATTTTTTATCATCGCGCCAATAATTTGCACTCTGCGCGTTCCTAACATAGACTACTGTAATCGTTGAATAATAAACGAATAATGATGCATGCACGTGGTGCGCAAAATATCGTCTGATTGTTCATAAACCGATCCGGTCACGATGGGGTGTAATAATTCTTTTTGTCGGCGCGTGTGCATGCACGCACGCGGCACTCGCTTGAGCACACCATAAAACGATTCCCGCGATATCATTAATACGATAACCGAAAATGGATCCTTTGACGAATACATGTACTCGTATATATATATATATATACAGGACCTTCGTACACGCGGAGTTATATTATCCTTGTAAGTATTCCGACATATATACGACGTCTTAACTTGTAGTTACGTAACATTAATCGTGTGATATTATTTTTCTTTGAGAATTCAGAAACAGATGAGTTTCGTACAATAATCTTATCCACGATATGTCGACGTGTGGATATATCGTATAGTATGGGGTTTATGGATCTGATCATAGTGAAAATGTCTTATTGTGAGCAAGGTTATTCCACTATGTACCTACATATTATTGGTAAAAGTTTTCGGATAGAAGAGAGTAATACTTTAAAAAGTACGTATAGCTTCGTACAAGAACAACCGTCGGTTTGAACAGGTATTTTTATTTTTATTGTACGAGAAGACGTGTAGCGAAGACTCACTCGACTAAAAGCATCGTAAAGCGTAATATTAACAGTGTGGATAGTAATTAATGTGTTTTTAATCTCCGACGGAAGATTAAAAATACGTACATCATAAAATACTACACGTTACACATTATATTGTTGACGTAGACATGCGCGTTATTCGGAAACACGTTGTATTATGTAACGTACGTAATATTATATCATGTGGATCACGGTTACTTGTAAAATATTACTACCGCCGAAGTGTGAATGACGAATTGTTATGATCATTAGGTGTTTAGAATAAACATTGCGTGATCCCGGAGGAAAACACAATTAATTAAGAAGTTGCTGTTAACTTTTTACTACGAGCAGGAATTCAAACGACGATCCATCTTTTTTTTTTTTTTCTACGTTTTTCAACTCGTCATAATGTCATACGAACATAAAACGGGTTCTGTACACTTCGTACCCTACATATTGGATGTTTTGCTAATAATTTTGAGAGTTTTAATTTTATGAGGGTCATAAAAAACGAAATTATTTCGTTAAGGGGAAAAAATGTGTATTAAACAATAACACTGGGAGCAATAAATGTTTAATTTACATTTATCCGGGATCCTAACGAAATGTTCTCTAATTATCTCTCCGCAAAAAAAAAGAAAAAAAAAAGAATAACATGAAATTTTAATTTCATATCCGCTTGCGAGTAAAAATAAAATAACTTACCTGGCAATTTAAATATTTAGTGAGAGGAATAAACGAGATGTTTTTTCTCATAAAAAATGAACGAATTCTTCGTTTTTTTACAAGTTCACCTACAACTTATTTGTTTTAATTCGTAAATGAAATGTGTAATCTTTTTAATATTACTTTTGACATTCGAACATTTCTTTTCGATACGTGTTTCGTTAAACGAACATTTGATTTAGCTATCTCATGATAATTGTTTTTTGTTTTGAGTGATTATTTTTTTCTCGATTTGTTTTTAGGTTAAACCGTATTCACCGTATATTATAATTATACGTTATCTATTTACGTTCAGCGCGCATTTAGTGGTAGATTCGGTTACACGATTTATTTTTCATTATCGTTTATTTTCAAAACGGATTTTGATTATTTTGTCTAATGAAATATATTAGCGTAACGGAGCACTTACACCGAGTTAAACGCGTCCGAATAATAATAAAAAAATGTCGCAAATATCACTGATCGATATTTTTTCATTAGACATGTAGGTATAGGTAAGTATTAATAATCGACGGATACAACGACGACGACGACGGAAACGAACCGGTACATTCGAGCGCAAAGTAGCATTATATTATACGACTATAATTATGTGTGTAGGTTCGACTCGAAAATATCTAATAGCGATTGACATTTATAGCTGCGCGGTTCTATATTTTTTATTCGATATTTTTAAGCGAGTACTATGTAGGTTAATTGATTTCTATTGTGGTGGATTGTTGGCTACGCGTGAGAATGTGATACGTAATAATAAAAATTATGATTGATCGTTAAAGGTTTATTGCGGTTTCGTGATGTACAATATAATATAAAGTTACGCGCGCGCGCGCGTGTGTGTTATATACAATGATACATCTCATCGCGCGTTACGGCCGCCGCGCCGATTTAGAATAAAATATTATATTGTATTCGTACAGCACTACGTGCTCGTCGGAATAATAATAAAATTAAAGATATCAACGGTCGATAAGGTCCGCGAGAATGCACGACGGAACAGATTCTGTCTATACCAGTAGTATTATTGTGCGTACCTTTTACGTGTACAAGAACTGGTATCCGCGCGACTGGCATTATCGATACTTACGTTGTACAGCACGGCTAAATAGTTGCGAGGAATTATTATAATATATGTGGTCCGCATTATATTCTTATTACTATTATTAAACATCGGCGGGGAATTAATATCTGAGATCCCGACCGAACGCTGTAGTCCTGCGCGCCCCGACGTGCACTGCGACGCGGTTACGTGTACACGCAGTTATCGGAACAGGGCGCGTATGAACGTCTGAAGATATCTTTCGAGATAATATTGTAATTTCGCGTCCGGGGAAGAAGTAGTGGTAGTAGCGGTAGTTTTAGCAAAACTAATACGTCGGAGCGTATAATATTCTCATCGTTACGTATTAAGCACACGAACACGTGTATAAATTACAATACGAACACACTGTACGCGCGTAGTGTTCAAACTCTAGAACGATTTTGTTTTTCAGTCTCACGGGTGCCCTCTTTAAAAGGTTTCATTTAACGGGCGTACGGTTTAACGCGAAGCGGGGTACACATTTCGTGCACGGTGAAAACGGGTTTTCTCAAACGAACCCGACCAACGGCTGCGCGCTACTGACGACTCGGATGCATAACTCGGATACTACTCGGGTCTATTTACTTCGTTTTTTTTTAATCCGTTGCTATACACGATATTCTACGCAGATGCAATTATGTTAACCGTTTACTATCGCTTAAATTTTTAACGATTATTGTACAGCCATTACTACGCCGTTCCGTACAACCTTTGTGCGCTGGCGTTCTCGTAAGGTATTGTTCCGGAGTATTTGAATCCGTATAAATATATCGCTCGGAATACTCTCGTTATTTATACAATAGCTAATATAATATGTATATTCGTATATAAAACGTTAAACTTGCAATACGGGCTTTTATAAACGTGAGATATATAACCAAACGTATTTGGATTAGTCCCTAAAACGTATCCAGTCGGGCGAAACGTTGAAGGAGACGAGTGCATTTTAAACATTTAAATGGAAAACAATTCGAATTAACTTCTGATATATTAAATCCGAGTTGGCGTACACGTTATATGTTATAGATACGCGAATGTCAGAGGGAAAATGAACATTTTTTAAATTATTTTTTAACGCGAGAGGCGCACACGTGTGAAGTTCAACGCTGCAGGCGTTTTATATTTCATTTAGAAATATTATTACTATTATTTCACCCTCCATCCGTCCCGGTCGTGCGCAAGTTACTTTCGATTTTGACAATCGTGCTCGGCGCTTATAACGTTTTGTCATGCATAATTTCGAATTAAACGTTTTATAAATCGGAAGCATTAGACCGCGAATATAATCGCGAACCTAACGAGTGTTAGAGGTGAGTTGTAACCGAAACAAATTTGAAAGCAGTCGTCAACTTTCACTACCGTTAAAGCTGTTTGTCAGTTTTTACAGGAGTTTAATACTATCCTTAATAAGCTGTTTTGTTATAAATTACCGACATCTGCGCGCGTAGTCACACACCAACTTTAATCCTGATTGCCGGATGGTTTACATTTGCAACGATTGTCTCGTACACACATACAATTGTGTTATATTGAATATTGTAAAATTATGATTTGCTTAGCGAAAGCGCAAGAGAAAAGTAATCTATCATATTATTAGTGTAATTAATATCAATGTAAACTATACAGATTTTGGATTTAACTATTATTATTATTGTAACTATATGCAAAGCAGTCCAAACGTAATATTACAGTGTACTCGTGGCTGTAATAATACGAATCCGAAAGAAAACTATTCCGTAAAAATGTTGTTTCGCGTAATCAATTTCGATTAAAAAAAAAACATTTCAAACAAGGCGGATACTATATTCACTATACGTCATGCTGCAATTCGCTGTTTTTATTTGTTTCACATGTACACCATTATAATTTTATAGCTGCATATATTATTATATTATATGCCATGGCATCTCTTTGAAATATTATCACTTTATTACGTATACGTTTGTACGACGACGTTATAGAGGTTTGTTGAAGTTAAATAGGTAGGTTTTTATTATTTAAAACGTTTTAAATCAAAACCGAACCGACAAGTTGATTATCCGTACATAGACATCAAACCGTTTTGGTAAGAATTAAAAAAAAAAAAAAAAAATCCGCGTGCAACCGATTTAAATTAAATCTGTTCGTTTCGTAACAATATTTTTTACGAGTAAACATTCGATACAATTTTCGAGTCGGACGAACGATCGAGTCTCGCCGAATCCACACGCTGCAACTGCGACCGTTTAAATCGAATCTGGCCGTAGACTCGCGGCGAGACGCGAACGTTTTCGTTCTAAAGCGTACGCTGTCGCAAGCGGGTTGGTGTTCGCGAGTTCGCACCGACTTGGGTTCGCCAGGCTTACCGTGGTCCACGCTTATCGGGTCCCCGCATGAATCGCAGTACTCGGCGAACAGCCCGTCGAAACACTGCAGGCAGTACGGCCGGCCGTCCCTCATGATGTATCGTTGGCCACCCAGCTGCTTGTCGCATTCCAGGCACGCGAAGTGTTTCATGTGCCACGCGCGACCTTCCGCTTCCGTGCACTCGTCGGCCAGGATGATCTGTGTGCGCAACAAAAAAATAAATAAATAATGTGATAAAATAATAGTAGTGTTTTGTTTGCAAATGATCCCCCTCCACATATAAAAGTTATGTATACGCCACTGTGTACACCCTCACTACGACCGTGCCGTTCCGGCAGTAATGAGTTCGACGGTATTTTTTCGCAATTTAAGCAAACGCGAACAATCGATTCCGTTGTTCCGAAACGTCCGTTGCCGCCCGAAAAGCCTAACGCCGAAACGGCTCTTCATCGCGTAAAGGATATGGTTGAAAAAAAAAAAAATCACTGTAACATTCGTGAATCGAAAGGAAGCGTTTAAACCGGTGGTTCTTGAATCTGGTCCGCGAACTCGCGCGTAGGCACCGCGACCGGTGATGCAACGCCGCGCCGAGCCGTTCAACGTTACGCGTCACTAAGCGATTGTATTCGAATCGACTGTCGACATACCTCGTCGCAGGCCGAGCACCTGGGCTTCAGCGTTTCCGCGTGGTGCCGACCGCAGTAGATGTGGTCGTCTTTGTAGAAGTATATGAGGTCGACGAGTATCTCTTTGCACACGCGGCACACGAAGCACGCGGGATGCCACGCCGCCACGGATCCCACTCGGCTCGCCGTCACCGCCATGTCGCCGGGCTGCAGGATTTCTTGACACTGGAAAAAAAAAAACGCGCGTTAGTAAAAAAAAAAATAGAAACGTCGAATGCGCGAACGCTGACCGCGAACCGAACAACGGGTTGGCGTTTGACCGCGCGTGCTTTCGGTTCACGTGTTACGCGGTTCGGCGAATCCGTCCGCGCAACAGAACGCGTTTTTACACACGTGCCGCCACACGATTTCCCGTGGATCCGACCGGAACACGGTGGTCGAAAAACAGGTTTCGAAAACAAAATGGACGTGTTCGACTGGCTCGCGGATACGCGTCGAACAAAAAACCCCCCTTGTTGTTTATTTTTTGTTTTTAATTTTTGTCCGGTGTCATTAAAAAAAGGTTTGAAAAAAAAAAATGACTGATTCCTGCGAGCAACGACGGTTGATTAATTTATATTTAATTTTCCTTTCGGTCCCGCATGTTGTGCACGTGCGCGCGGTTTCAGGACCGAAGATATTATTCTGTACCGTTGACTTTGCGATCTGACGTATTGTAGCACAAGGCGCTTGTAAAACGATTTTTTTTTTTTTTTATTGTTTCGTTTTAATTGCACAACGAAACGATTATTAAATTAAACGGAAAAAAGGGAAATCAGGGGAAGTGACGACAAATAAAAACTGTGTATTGACACCGGATAAACATTTAATTTCAATATAGGTGCACGTCTCTCGTTTCAATCACTATAATTAAAAACCATGCGCCGGTGGCATCAATTTAAATTAATTTTGTAAAATATGTGAGAGTTCTATTGTGCGTTACAAAGAGTAAAAGGGTGGGTTAGGATTAAAGTTGAAAGCTTTGATCATACACATACACATATTTATATTTATATATATGAAATAATATAGATAATGTGCATCGTTGTGATTAAAACACATATTAGTCATAATTATAACGGTTTTAGATAAATTAATTTTTCTTATAATTGTACATCGTTTTATATTGACGTGTAAATTATGTATACAATATCAGAGAATAAAAATCAACGTGAAAAATTACGATAGATACCGATAATTTGCCTGATAATTGTTTTCATTTAAAACACGTAAATAAGTATTATAATGTATTATAGTTATATTATAACTTTAAATTAAAAAAAATATTGTATTCTTTTGATTTTGGCTGATAAAAAATCAATTATAATAATTATGCTTAATATTCTTGAACGTAAATATTTACTTTATCTTTTGGTTTGAACTTTGTAGTATAACATTTATGAATTGTCTTTATTTAACACGAAATGTTTAAAATATTTGTATGATTATTGATGTTCAAATGTATTTAATATACTAATTATACATACATATTATAAATTAAAAATATACCACTTTAATTGCAATACATGCAGTTAAATATTATTTAAAAAAATCCCTAAATGTTAGGGAGAATATGGAACGAGTTTCAAAATATTTGTGATGAAATTAACGGGTTGAATTAGGAAAATGCACCATACATAAAGTATATTCGTTAAATTTGATGAGCTCTGATATGCTGACTTTTATTCTGTATATTTTATCATGAGAAAAATACCATGTTCAATGTTTTATGAAATACTATCTCGCGATAAGATGTCATTATATGTTATTTTATAATATTCATTATAAATTTATCATGATGATCTAAGTCATAAAAGTGTTTAATTTTTAATTTTATTACCTTAATGACTAGGCACTCATTTTTAAATTGACATAAATCGTATAAGACATGAAAATGTACAACGCTACTATAAAAGTGGTTTTTTTTATGTTAAAAATCAATTTCTACAAATCAGCTAGCGCACAGATAACAAAACTGATAAAAGTTAACGGGAAAATGCCATTAACACCATTAAATAATAATAAATAATTATAAAATTTAATTCTAACGAAATTTTACAATGAAATCAAACACAATCAAATACAACAGGCATAATGAAGATATAACCGAACAGATAATAGATTTCATTTAATATTGATTTAGGTATTTGGTTTATTTTTTCAATTTAGTTACCTATTGATAAATGCTAAAATGGAATTGATTTTTAAATTATAATTACGGCTTCCTAACTTATACCCTCTTTATGTCATTTTCAATAAACAAACGTTATGATAATTGATTTAAAAATAATTTATTAATACATTTAAAATAATAATTATAATATTTAAGGCAAATAAAAAAAAAAAAAAAAATAAAACTAAAATTAAAAATATTTATTAAAGTAAATTGTTTTGAGTAACCGGTGGCACCCTACAACAGCATAGTACAATGTGAATTTAGTATATTACTTTATCTTTAATACATCGATGTTACTCCTAAGGTGTATTTTAACCATTTTAAGATAACAATTTGAATATTCAAACCAGGTAAAGAAATAATTTTATAATAGTAATTTATTTTCTTACAGTTATTGTAGTGATCACGCACCTATATCAAATAATGTATTTATGCCCATGTATATTTTATTGACGATTGTAATGACATTTATAAAAGTTAATTATCGAATAAGTAATTTGTACTCTCACATAATGTAAAATATTTTCAAACATATATTTAGGTGAATATTAAAACAAACTAATGTTATAAGTAATGAACACGTGTAATAAGGCAATACTTAGTAACCAACTACTATAGCAATAACAAAATTATGACATGAGAATTAGTGTAAGTAATTAACTAAAATGATACAATGTACATAATAGGTACGTATAGATGTATATAAGTTTAGAAATACTATTACATTTTATATTATGTGCATAGTGAAGTAGAGGCTAAAAAATGTGTTTTGGTAATTATTCAAAATTATGTTACTTTTAATATATGGTCTTTTTCTGAACGGCTAACGTCAGACTGTTATAGCTATCATTGTGTTTAATGAAGACTAAACTAAACAAATAATAAATATTAACTACATAGTTATAATATAATTACCGGGATTGGAATTAATTAAAATATATGCGTTAGGTATAAGTACAATGTAATATAATTAATTATGTCTGCGGTGTAAGATAAAAGGTAAATGATTTAACATATTTTTCCAGCTATGAATAACTAGAGGAATACGATGAAACGAGAAATTTAATATACGGATTAAATAAGTTTATAGCATAAACTTAAAATGCCTTATAACTATCAGCGTTGGCTTGATTGCAGAACGCGTACGTTGAAACAGTAACGGGGTGGAATTAATTATGGTTCACACTTAGAAAAATACATTTTTTTTTTTTTTTTTTTGTACAAACAGGTTTTGAAACAAAATTACATTGTATGTGTTTGGTTTTCTAAATGGCCCAAAGCGTAACGGAGAAGTTGTTCGTTCGAATGATGGAACATCATTTTAAGCGAAAATGACAAGATAACGTTAACAAAACATCGATGTTGAATCAGGAATTAAATTACTGCGCAAAACTGTGGGCATAATCAATAACTTCAACGTGGTGAACATTGATGTGTGTCAATAAAATAGTAGGTACGGCAAACGATGGCGGATAAGATTAATTTAACGTTTGATTTCGCCAGGATTATGATTATCGTAACATCTGATACTACTAGCCGCGATCAAATAAATTCCCACGTATGCTGCCTGATGGTTGCGCACAACGCGATGATTTGTTAAAAATTATTACGTTCGACTGTTTTCCCCCGATGGGATGAAATGGTACCGCATTCGTTCGGACCGCGTTACGGGACACCGGAGTCGAACGCAAAACGACGTGGGTCAATGTTTTGAGAACAACGAGGTGCTGAAAGTTTACGAAGCGCAAACACTGGTGACAATGTTGGATACGATTTCGCGACCGTCGCGCGAAACCGCGATAAAATCAAAGAAATGCGGCCCACGCACCACTCGTGGCCGCTGTCGTCCGCGTCGAAGTACATAACGCGCGATTGATCGACAACGAATAAACGTTATTACGATGCGTACGCGGGGTGCACGCGTGAACGGCAATTAAATAATTATTGTCGGTGCAGAGCGTTATCGATAAAAAACACGCGCGTTGGAACGAAATCGAACCGGTGGTAAAACAAGCGTCGACTGAAATACGTACTGTTATCCTCGACTTCGCAGTGAAATCGAAATCGTCACACCAGTAGTAAAAATGGTTCGCCCAATCCGCCGAAGCACCGGAGGACCCGCGAGACGGGGTACGTTTCGAGGGTGTATGCGAGGAAACGTTGGCGATCGAATTGCGGCTTTCTAATAATTGCAATTCCGCCGAGATAAAAGCCGCGTACAGCCACCGTATTTATTATATTTATACCCGCCCATTGAACGCTGAACACCACCGCGGCAAGTCGACGGGCTTAAGTGGGATTTCCAGGGAGACCTAGCGAGATTCCGCTGCGGATGTTGCTGTATTTCTTATCGCGATAATTCAAGACGCGAAATACTTCGGTTTGCGGTGGCGGTGGCGGTGGAGCAGGTCGTCGTCGTCGTTGTCGTCAGCTCTCTAGCCAGCCAAATAATAACAATTTCGAGGGGTTACCATTTTTGGCTGGCTTACCTCCTTCATCCCCGCCGACACCACCATAAATCACACGTTAAAAACACTTTAAACCCGACCGGGGTAATTGCCCCGCCGGCGGGGTGCGACGGCGCACAGCACACATGTGACTTGTTGTTGTTAAACAACGGGCGGGTTACAGTTTTACCAGCGAGAAAGAGTGCGCTCGGAAGTATTCCCTTCACTTAGGGTAAACGACGAACCCTTTAGAACGCCTACGGTAATAAATCCATTGACGCCAAGTGCCGTTGAAAGATAACAACCCATCTATCAGATACCACCACCAACACCAGGGCCGCTGCCGCCACCACTTCCACCGACGCGCATTCGTCGCCACACGGAAACGTTCACGATGAGAACTGTTGAAATTACCGAGTTCGTGAGGTAATTATTATTATACACAACTCTACCGTCCCGAACCGACTTCGAGGCGTGGTTATCGCTTTTATTTATTTTACCCGTTACGATAAATCATCGACTTCGTAAAAATTACTTTAACGAGAACTTTGTTTTTGTTTTTTCTTATAGGCGTCGGAGAAAAAAAACCAAACGCACATTTGTATCTCTTGTCATTTACACTATGGCCGTTTACCGCGCAGTTTTTTTTTTTTTTTTTAGCACAGAATTTAATTATTATAAAGCAAGAATATTTTACATCACACGAAAAAAAAAAAATAATGACATACCAACTTAAAGAAAAATAATTATAACTAAATGCAATTAGCCACTGTGACAAACAATACCAACGTCTTATACGTTCTCAATATTTTCCATTTTAAAATCGAATCGAATACACTTATATAAATGTATACAAGACTCTGCTGTCAATACTTTATGATGGGAAATGTATCCAATATTCATTAAGAATACGCTTCAATCAAAACCATCGATGCAGAATAAGGATTTAGATAAAAAGTGAAACATAATTTAGTGATTTTTATTGTTTTTTTTTTCAGAGATTGGAAGTAAAAATTGTTATCGTTGTATTGTACGTAAAGAGTATGTAGGAATTGTAAAGTTCTAAAGTTCATGATCGGGAATGGAAGTGATGTATATTATATATATGTATATTAGTATATTAATATATATATAGAAATTCTCTCTGTCCCGAGAACCCTTGTCAACTTAACGATTGACATGAATAGAAAAATCAAAATTGTGTCAATTGAGTTGGGTTGTGAATCTGTGAATCGAAATATATACATAAATATATTTATATACGTATGATTGAATATGATATTTTAAAAGTCTTACTACGCAGAAGTTTCCTTGGTGTCGATAAGAATTCTATACAAGATAATATTATAAAATAGACAAAAGAGTACACGATAGTGAAAATTGAATTTTAAAATAAATGTATCCAAGAAAAAACTGTTTTACGAGAATATAATATATAATGTATGTTATACGTCAAATATATTTATAAATATGGTCTAAATACAATTATAAATGTAATAAATTAATTTTAACGTGAATCCATACAATAAGGCAAAATGATTTGTGTAAAATGTCTTCTCCCGTGGCGGCACCGATAAACTACGTTTTAATTCATAGGATAACCAATGGATGGAAATAATTCCGATGGAATAATCACACTGATATTTTTATTACTTATAATATGATAACGTATCGTCTGTCAAGCGCCCTGAAAGATTTATTACCTTGGAAACAGAGATAACGTAATCGAGTTGACAGGTATACCTCTAAAGAGTTCATGCACCAAAGGACGTAGCACAAAAGAATGACGATGACGAAAAGGTAATCTGTTTTTCCACTGTCGTACACATGCACACAGGTTAGCTTTTATCGATGAATTTTCAATGTTGTTTTTTATTTGGCAACTATTTTTTTTTTCTGAAGAATAAGAACTTAATGCCACATCGATCTGATTACAAAACCTTTCGCGTCACCATTTATCGTATATTTTAAATTCTGAACGGAAAACAGTGTTAAAGCTATTTGATTTACAAAGTAGAGTATTCAGTGTAGGTACGTTTCACATGAACATTTTGTTTAGGGTATATTGGACGTGTGGCATAAGAAATGCATCGGAATGGGAATTGAATCGAAATCATCTACTGTTAATGTAATTCTATTGCGATGAATCTTCAAAATATTTTTTATGTCCCCAAGATAGAAAGAAAAAATGTAAAAAGGTCTTCGCTTGCTATTAAAATGCGATGTTCATCGTTCTTGAATTTAATATGGTATCACGCGCTCGCTTTAAGTAAGGCGGTATTCAAAACAATAGTCTATTCAATGCGCGTAGCAATGAGCAAATCTTCGTGTGCAATGTACAAGTACGGAGTCTGTGTGGTTTTTTTTTACATATTTTCTGTTTACCTTGTACCGTACGTACCTGCCGCGATAGATATCCATTCGCGTATAAGAATAATGATTGTTTTACAAATGGGTTATGAAAGAACGTAGGCAAATAATAATCATAATCATAAAAAGTCCTACTGCTCAACGATTACACTTACGTTTGTACAAGGTATGGCCGCGATCAGTTGCTTGGCCACGCCGCGTCCCAGGGCGTCACGTTTTCTCTGAGCGCTGAACAGCCTAAGTTCCTTGCGCTCTTCGTCCGATAGACCGCGGCAGTACCGCACCTCGTTGTCGTGTGGAGGCAGTTGCTGTAGAAGCTGCCTCACCCGATATCGCTCGCCTGCCGAGTTCAGATATGGCACTTTGTCTTCAGGCACTCCCGAGAAGAATAAGTGCACCTGGAAGCAAAACAAACAGAAACAACAATAAATACTTTTGGACTATACATCGCACGGGATACATTGTAATTTTGTCAGAGTACTATACAACGTCGTACAAATAAGATCAATATTAGTCGTGAATTTTATTGTAGTTTTTAAATATATACGAAATAGATTCTCGTTTCGTCAAATATCCAGGAGAACAAGCGGAGAAAAAATATCGGTTAAATACTCTATTGAGTACAAAACGGAGGAGTCTTACTGGTAGATAGGAGTTTGATGCAAAATATCGAAAAATTCGACATGTTCATGTTTGACTTGCATTACAAAAATATATTTCAAAATCTATCTAAAATACATAACAAAGTACGTGAACATTAGGAATCGGGCTACATGCATACATCAAAAATGAGTGATAAAAAGCATTGATGTTACACACATAATCTACTAAATTAATAATGAAAACATAATCTTCAGTGTAATATTATTGAACATTTCTTATACATCATGAAAAAGTCATAAACAATTAATTATATTGATAACATTGTAATTCAGTAAAATTAAGAATATTAAACTGATAAAAGTACCAAGAAAATTTAAATATAATGATGAAAAACATTGTACATAGTGTAAAATCATCGTTAATGGTAATAAGTTTAATAATTTTGTTTAATTCTATATTAAAACATAAGGTCTACGACACTTTTGCACTCATTATTGTCTAATAAAGTTATAATAATGGCTAACTGTATCGTTTTATTATATTTTTCACTCTGTAATTGGTAATTTTAAGGTAAAAAATATTCACGTGATTTAAAGTTAGAGTTATGATTATTTGTATTGTTTAAATATTAAAAAAATTCAATAGACCATACGTTAAGTCTGTACAATTATAAAATACCATAAATTAGAACAGATTATTAAAACTATATCAATATATAGTCAAGAAAGAAAAACATGAAAATTATTATCATGCTCTTCATTAATTATTCGTAGTTAAATAATCACAACTAGGTAAGTAAGAATAATTATATGAACAAATAATAGTTAGATAAGTACCCATACATCAAAGTTGTCAGACACTCATTCCTTTTTCAACGTTTTCAGTTTCTCCGAGAATATAATTATATTACGAATGGAAACTAATTATTTTAGTTATAACAAATGATTTATAAGTGGTCAAGACTATATAAGACTCAATAAATATACTTCTGATAAAAACCACTTACCAAATACCAACGTAAATACTCGGTAAAAAATGTAGATTTTAAATTAGTTCTTCGCAAAAAGTGTTAATCATTGTTTACCATATTTATTTTGATAAAACAACATTACATATTTTTCATGGTATGTGACTAATAGGAATGTACACAATATACGGTGCGTTTAATTATTTTGAGGACTTGTTCAACAACACAAATAAAATTAGTTGTGAACAAATTAATTTTTAAATTTTTAAAAAATTCTGAGTTCCAAATATTTAAACATAGCTGACAAAAATGGGCTGGCAAAAATATAATTTGATTTGAACTTTTATGTGCTATAATATAGTTTTGGTACAGTGTCGTTTTTCCACTTTTAACACTTTTAATTACATTTCAGGCACTTTTCGGTATTCTTAATTAGAACACGCGTTAATTAAATATCCCGAATAATTGTAAACAAAATATATGTTCGAGCGCAGCTAAGTAAATTATAATAACTCGATAAAATTATACAAATTCGTTGGAGTATCCGATGAAAAAAGGACGGATGAACCTAGGAAAACGTTTCACCGATGCGGAATAACTGTAAGTAAACATCCTATTCGCGTCACGAACTGCCCGGCGTTAATCTGATTCACAAAAAATAAAAATTCCGTTTGAACATTAATTGGTTAAGTATACAGAACCGGTGGGATGATTAAATCGAACTATTGATCTTGAAGGAGTTGACCGTGGATAAGGAATGAGCGTAAAGGCAGCTTAGTTACACATAAATTATTGTCCGAAAAAAAAAAATAAATAAATAAATAAAGAGCTAAAATAGCCTCTGGAGATGTCCAATTAACCATAAAAATTCTCGCCAACAATAATATACACATTTAACTCGATTAATGCACGTTAATGTATGATTAACTGTAGTGTATCTCGATATTTCATTACATTAGCCTCCAGAGTTCTTGCGTATATACGCGAGCGCGCGTATACGGTTTCCGATCCGATCAACAGGTGGGCGTGATTTGTTTTCTAACGTTGATCATAGCGTGAAATGTGAGTATAAGTTATGCACGGGAAACATTAATCTTCACGTGACAATACTTTCTTTTCTTGTCCATGTAGATGTTTGTAATATTAGGAAAAAAAAAATATACAAGAATAACATTTAAAATTTGTCAACATATCACAATCGCGGCGCATTGTTCGCGATGTTCGTATTATAAACCGATGACAAAATATTATATTTCATCGTGACAGGGTTCGTAGACGTTAGAGGACCGTGACGCACGTTATATTATATCCAGTCGTAATAACAGTCGCGTCTCTTCCAAACACGAAACATTTGTTTTTTTATTATATTTTATTTCATAAATAATACCGGGCATCACTGAGAAACCTCGTACGAGGGGATGGGAGACCCGTGGTTATAACGATAGTTATATTATAATTTTTAAACAATTTTGATGTATAAAATTATCGAATGCCGAACACGGCATTGAAAACCACTGAAAACGGTCATACCTGTACGTTATACATACAATGTATCAATCACAAATTCACAAAAATGACTTAAGACAATAGTTAATGCAAAACATATCCGGAGAGGGAAAGTTCAACGGTGCCAAGTGCGTCAATTGGTCGGTTGGCACCAGATGTGACCGCGCGGAAACGTCATTGATCCGGGACAAAAGGACAACGGGGCGGACGCGAACCTAGCGGATCCGTGGGACGTGGTACTTTTCCGCGATCCCTCGGGTACCATCGTCAAGGTCGTTGTCGCCACGCCGTCGCATCACTCGAGATTGTTCGGTGCACGTGTCCGACGCCGTCGGGCGATCAGTGTTCATTTCAGACATTCTATTCCGGCGGTGGACGGGTATCGTAAATCTTCCAGGGGTGTGTGCGATGCACCGCAGGAGTAATTAATTGGTAAGTAAATAAATTTTATTCCGGAGGGCGAGGGAGAATTATACCCCCTTCCTGGCCACCCACACGGAACAAGCACTGGTCGCGATTCAACGACACATCCGTGCCGACGGTAAAATGCGTCTGTGCCCACTGAACGCGTCGTGAAGCCGGCCGCCGCGGGACGATTGTTAACAACAATGGGACGTCGCAATTGTCCGGTACGTAATTTACGGACAGTTGTCGGCGGTCGTCGCGTGTTCTGACACGTCGGTGCCGCCGTCCCGCCGGTGCGACCAATGACTGTTGCCGTCCTGTGCACGCGCCGAATAGGCCATCTTCTAATGCAGGCACTACAGATAATTTTCATTCCGGCCGAGTCGAAAAGTGTACGGACGTACGCGCGTACCCGTTCAACGACGGTAAATCGACGTTGACGGTGTTCACTACCGTTCGGAAACGTTTATAACAAGAGCGTTCCGGCAGAGAGACGTCGGCAATGCGCTGATCAGTGGCGCCTGACTCGGTTTTTTTCCCGTGAAGCTTCAACGTTAATCCCCACGATCACCCAACCAGTGGCGTTGAAGCACTCGTTAGTGATTCGGGCAAACGTCGAAAAAACGTAATTTTACCAATTAAAAATTTGATGCGACGGCATTTTTTTTTTTTACATTTGATTTTATTAATATTTTTGTTTTATTTTTTTTAAGGATCATGGGCATTAATTTTAAATCTTTAAAACGAATAAAATAACCTAACGCGCATATTTTAAAATTATAATAAAAACTTTAATATCAAAATAATAACATAGGCGATAGTGCATAGTATATAGTAGTAGAAAAAAAGATCACAGTTTAATTAATTTGATTATTCGTATGTTTTTATCCGTCTAGATTAGCACTATATCAATAATCACGATTATCAATCACTTCTAAATGTCAATAAAAAATATAATATAATATATATGTAATAAATATAGTAACGCTCCTCTTTACTTTGATTAATAAATTAAAATTAGGGCAATCTTTAAAATATTTAAGTACTTAAAACCTAGAGGAACCTTCAGTCCCCATAGCAGGCGTGTATGTACGGGGGGGGGGGCTTATATCCACATTTGCTTGTGCATAAAGAAAATGATTATAAATCTGTCCGTCTGATATAAGTATATTATAAATAGCGGGTAAATAATGTATATCTGAACGACCGAAATCAGGATTTCACATATATTATTATAGGAGCAATGTGTCCATAATTCGACGTGAGCTTGAATCAACAGTTTTGTGACCAGCAGGAATACCATTGATTTATGAAATTAATTATTCACCATTGTGGTATTATTCGGCAAATATTGTATTATATTATAATATGCTGTACGTGTCATTTGGCATATTGCGCAGAAGACTGCAGCAAGGAATAAGAACGGTTTGTGTGTTGAACGTTATATGCATTATTATTAACTCTATATTGACTCTGTTGAAGAATATATATATATATATATATATATATTATATATATATATTATATACATATATATATATGTGTGTGTGTGTGTGTGTGTGTGTTATATGTGGTATATGTACAGCGTGCAAATATAGAAGTATGCGAGAAGACGAATGCCAAGAAGGATAACGAACTTGCAGCGCTTCTTTCCGTGTATTGCAAATTTTATAGATTTTAATCGTACGGACCTTAGAACTTTCGTCGAAAACTATGCGCGAAAAAATAAAATATAAAAACAATGTCCGTTTATTCTACGTACAATAGATAAACTGCCAAACACTCCGACGTATTCGTGGATTGTGTTATAAAAACTAAAACGCGTACATTCCGTACATCGATATTATTATTTATCAAACATTAACGATTACTAGTTTCCAAATAGGTTTTCTTTTCGTTTTTGGAGCGTTAGAGTGC